AAAGAGTGAGGCAGGACAGGAGGCAATGGTTTGCTGAAGACTGGTTGGGACGTGCGACATGGACCTGATAATGGTGTGATGATCATGGGCTTGGGGAGGGCACAGGAGAGTTCAGGGTCAAGTTGAACAGCTCAGCCTCTGACACAAAGGATGAGTATAGGACTAGGAGAGGGCAAGGAAAAGGCAGATTTTTGACTGCTGTTTAAATAACAACACACACATGCTAATGACTCAATAGACAGCCAAGCAAACAAGGCTGTTGCCAAGAAATCCTGTTCAATTAGACTGCATAGGCCAGGCTAAGTAGGGGATGCAATAGAATTGAAGTGGGCTGTGAGGAGATTAGCAGGGATCATGAGGGAGTAGACAATGGGATAGATGCGCGCTCTGGAGAACAATCCTGGACCAGAAATTCCTGTGTCTGTCTTCCTGCTTACTCTTCTGTGTTATGACGCTGGCATCTTCATTTCAGGTGCAGACCGAAGGCCTAAAGGGAGAGCGAGTAAGAGCTGTTCAGTGTCTTTGCTGCATTCAGTTTAAGTAATGCATGTATTTTATACAACTAGAGGGATGTTGCCAGGCAGCTTAGCTTTTCCGACTAGATTTTATCTTAAGAGCATGTTACAAAGCCCAGTGTGCCTAGAAATAAATTCATTACATTAAAAAAAAAAATCTGTTTCCCTCCCCTCTCACATGCTTGCTGTCTCGCTCACATGTACACCTGTGGTGCATGCACACACACGCACACACGTGCGCGCGCGCGCACACACACACAATTGCTGGTACTTGAGTACTTGGTACTGGACAGAACAGGCATAGCAGGTTTTTCAGCACCTGTGGGGTGCTCCAGCCAGTGGAGACCCCAAAAACTCACTCCAGCCAGTGGAAACCACAAAAGTCCTGTGTGTATTGGTAATACAGACCAGTGTAGAGTAAGGGGGTGGGTAGAAGAGGAACAGGGTGTTTCTTGTCCCTGCTTTTTGCACTCAAGTGGTAGCTGCTATTGCTTTAGCAGTGGGGGCTCGGGCTCCTCTCTCTGGGGGACAGGCTCAGAGCATACTAGCTGTAGCAGTCCCATGCAGCAGTCTGCCCAGAAGCCACCCCTGGTACCCTGTTTGCTCCTTCTTGCTCAGATATACGACTCCCAGGGGTGAAGAGGCAGCTGGCATTTTGCTCACTGCCCCCCAGGTACATCACTGAGCGAGGGGCTATGCCTGCCTAGGGGCTATTCCTGCTCTGACAAAGATTCCTGGTTTTGGGGGTAAAGGGTTCAGTTCTGGTGCCTCCTCTCAGAGGGTTTCCAGGTCTGCTGCTTTGCTCACCCCACCCCACCCCAAATTATTGTGCTGCTAGACAGGAAGAGTGGCCAGTGTCCCCTTCATGACATGAGCCATGTTGCAAGCAGCAATTTGCTTTCTAAAAGTCTTTGTGTTTTAATAGAAGGCCTTCATGAAAATTTCAAACACTATCTGAGGTTTTTTCCAAGCATGTACCCACAGGCAGGGATGGGAAACCAGCCATTGGTATTTATCTGGCTGTCATTGATTTTTAAATACATATTGTATACTTTGGGGGACTGATTCATAGCTATGTTAGTGGCGGGGGGCAATCGGGGACCTTGGAGAATACCCCTGGTACAGAAGAGGTCTTCGATGAGAGCTGACTCCCCAACAATAGTCCCTGCACATGGAATATTTCCAGCTAGATCGGAGAGGGAAGAGAATGTGGTTGGGATGGCCTTATGCCTTGGGTGCTTTTCCAGTTGTCACAACATCCATAGGTGCCTCAGGCAGATTGGTTCATGCTCTAATGAACTAATCCCTGCCAGTCCCAGAATCAAAGAATGAACAATCAAGGCTCTGAATTAGCTTATGGATAACAGCAGTTTTATGATACAATTCCACTATAGTGGAATAGTGGGCCAGTATAGCCCTATGCAAAGGCTGGCGAAAGATCTGTGCACCAGTTTTATATCCCACTGATATGGGGTGCAAGTGCAACTTATATGGCGCATGTATTAGGTGCGAATCGTATGTGCACAACAGCATATTGGGTTCCACATTTAGGGTGAAGAACATTGGTACATAGATTGCTCACCCAACATATGTACAGATGGACAGGGGTATCAGCCGCCTCCCTCAGGTTTAGTGTGTTAAACAGGAAATTGATTGTTTTAACACTTACTTTTTGTTTGTTTGTTTTTTACTTATTTTTTTAGGGAGACCCCGGTCCTCGAGGACCCCAAGGTTTACCTGGTCTGCCAGGGCCACCGGTGAGTAGCGTCCTTCACTGAATATATTGTTTCTGAGGAATGGAAACTCACTCCAGCCAGTGGAGACCCCAAAAGTCCTGTTCACATCTCAAACCTTGTGTTACAGGCTGTAGTGATGTACACAATCTTAGGTTGTGTACTCTGGTAAATAAAAATTATCCTTTTTATGTGGCTTCAAATCCTTTGTGCCACTTAGTGCCTGTACATCGTGCATGGGCTGTCCCCCTACGTACAGGTGAAATTCAACTAGAGCCCAGTCTATGTGAGGTGCTAACTTCAATGCCATTTGGTTTTATTGGGGCCTACTCAGTGTCTCGCAGAGTGGTTTCCAAACACGAACCTTTTCTTAACTCCTAGACAGCAATGTAATGGAGGTCAGAGTAAGCTTGCTGTCACAGGAGATAGCATCACTCAAGACTTCCAGGCCAAAGTCATTACAATGAGTTATAAAAAATATAAGCATGTGTGCATGAGAAACAGAGACTTGATAATTTGATGTGGTTTCTTGCAACCATCTAAACACATTCAGCATCTCACAACTTGGCTTCACTTCAGTCTCTTGCCTTCAGACATATCTTATGGTCTCACTCTTCAGGATATCACAGTTTACACTCTCATTGTTACTTGTGTTCACACACTCCATATATTCTCGCTCCTGAAGTGGGAAACAGACATATTTTGCTATAGCTGTTGTATCGTGTCTTGGAAAGTTGTTGGCACTGTGAAAACATATTACTAGGTAAGTGAGGCTAATCTCATTTCAAATACCTAACTAGGTACTATTATCCTTTTTTTTTAAATTAGAACATTAAATCTCCTTCTTTAAGCTGTTCTTTCATCTTTACTATTCACAAGGTGACATGTTTTCTAGATAAGACATCTGGACTGCCATGCACTGCAGCAATAGCACAGAACTGAGTGAAAGTGGCTGCATACTTCCATATTTTACTTAACAGATTCTGATCAATTATTTGTATTTTAAAGGGGCCAGCTGGTCCAGAAGGCAAGCACGGAGCTCCTGGTCTGCAAGGTCAAAGGGTGAGTTAACTTTTTAATTTAACATACATCTCACTTAGTCGATGGTTGCTTTGCTTCCTTGAAGCCTAGTTACTTATGTCTATCATACATGTTTTTGCACTGATTAATTTTTTTTGGTTAAGGGACTATTAATTATTTTCCCACTAATGGAGTTACATTTTCCCCGTCGGTAGCACAGATAGTTTGTATTTATATAGTTATATCAGTATGAAGGTATCTTACACTGTTATAACTTACCTTACTCCTCTACAGCAGTAGTTATAACAGTGCAATATACACTTTTTACTTAGATATCTGTATATATGCTACCTAGGTATGGCACATTGACTCTTCTGGTATAATAACAGAGAGATAATTTTAGTGTGTAGATAAAACGTGAATAATGGTGATATTAAAGACTGTCTGGAACAGGGGAGACCAAAATACAGCCCGTAGGTTGAATCTGGCTTTCCAAGGGATTTTATCTATTGTACAGCAGGTCCCTTGGCCCTGCCTGACCCAGGTGCAGGGGGCAGGTAAACCATCACATGCGGCTGGTCCTGCTGCCTCCGGGTGTGCAGTGGGGCTGGGGTGGTGTGGTGGCAGGACTTAGCTTCTCAGCAGCCCAGGTGGTGGTAGCTGCTTCCTCCAGTATCACCACTGCTGCTGGACCTGGCCCTGCTGCCTGGGCACCACGGCCCATCCGCCCCACACCTGGGGCACTGGACCAAGCTGGCAGGTAGGCTGGTTCTCCATGGAGACTGGCCTGGGACCCCTGCGAGCAGGGCATGCTAGGCTAGGTGGATGGGATAGGATCATGGGCATGTGGGGAGCGGCATCCAGGAGCAGGACGGGTGGGCAGGGATGGGATTGAGGGGCAGTGACAGTGCAGGGCTGATGCCCGGGGCAGAGCTGTGATCTGCTCCCTGCACATCCCTGCAATGGGCACCAGTTCTATAGGCAGGGGCATCGGGGAGAAAATCGCAGTTTTGCCTTGAGCCCTGGCCCCACATTGTCAGTGTGCTGGGATCCCAACCCCAGCCTCAGCCTCAGCCTTAGCCCTTGCCAGGAGCAGCACTCCTGGATGCTGCTCCCCGCTGGTGTGCAGCCCTATCCCATCCACCCAGCTGAGCGTGCCTTGCCCATGGCGGTCCTTGGCCAGTTTCCTTGTATACCCTGCCTGCCCGCTCTGTCTGGCAACCCCAGCAGTGGCTGCAGGGTGGACAGGTCCAGGCCAGATAGGATCAATTCCTGTGTCCTGCATCCTGCCCCTGTGCCAGGAGGGGTCAGCACCGCTTTGCCCCCCATGGCAAGTCAGCACCCCTAGCCCCAGTCCATAACAGCTCACCAACACTCACTAACGACCCCTGCAGCCCAAATAATTGCCCACCCCAATCTAAAATATTCAGGTAACATCCTCAGTCAGGTTCTGTTCTGTCTGTTAAGTACCTAAGTAGATTTAGGCATCCAAGTATGATTCTGTTCCACCCTGCTTGAGACCCGGTCATACAGAAGACAGGTATATTCCCCTCCCCGTGGTTTTTTGGTGAGCTTAATCTTAATTGTCATATAATGGTATGTTACAAAAGTAGACCAAGGAATGGGTTTTGAACTTGAACAGGCCTGAAGAGAATTGCACGTAGGTGCCTAAGTCTACATATATACCTACTGTGGAGTAGAATCTAGTCCCCTAGATTGAAAGAGCAGGCTTTTCTAAGATGCTACTCTTTGCTAGTTGTTGTGCAGGACCAGTGCCATTTGCAGCTTGCCGCTGCTGTATGCTATGCTTACAAAACCAATTTCCTGCTTTTTTTGTACTCCTACATCCATTCTTCTCTCACCCCACCCTAACCCCAGTATGGACATCTGAATATACAAGCCTTGATCACGCTCTTGGGACACCTCTCCTTTGAACTCAATGCAAGTGCTTGGCTGGAGTAAAGGTTGCAGACTCAAGTCCTTGGTAATCTGGAGATGAGTGCATTGAATGTTTCCATCCACAAGGAACCAACAATAGTTGTGTGTGTTAGGATTATAGGACAGGAGGGCAGGAAGAGACCTCATGTGATCATCCAGTCTAGACTCCTGCTTAGAGAAGGACCATCCCTGACTAAACCATCCAGTCAATGTCTAACCTGCTTTTGAAAATTCCCAGGGATGGAAATTTCACAATTTCTCTCAGTATCCTGCTACAGTGCTTGACCACCCTCATGGTCAGAAAGCCCCGCTTATCTCCAGCCTAAAGTTCCTCTGCTGCAGTTTAAATCCATTGTCCCAGTTCAGTCTCTTGTGGCCACGGAGGAAAGTCTGATGTCAATCAGTCATAGAATTATGGAAAATTAGGGTTGGAAAGGACTTCAGGAGGTCATCTAGTCCAACCTCCTGCTCAAAGCAGTACCACCCCCAACTAGATCAATCCAGCCAAGGCTTTGTCTAGCCACATCTTAAAAACCTCAAAGGATGGAGAGTCTACCACCTCTCTGGGTAACCTGTTCCAGTGCTTTGCTACCCTCCTAGTGAGAAAGTTCTTCCTAGTATTGAACTTAAACTTCCCTTGCTGCAACTTGAGCCCATTGCTCCTTGTTCTGTCATCTGCCACCACTGAGAACAATCCAGCCCCATCCTCTTTGCAGGCTTCAGGTAGTTGAAGTGGAGCGGGGGAGGAAGTTAACATACAAAGGTGGATTTCTGTTATATAGCAGTATGCTGGAAGTAACTCTATGGGTGTGCTTTAGATCAGTGGTTCTCAACCTTTTTTGTACCAGGATCCATTTGTAAACATTGATGACCAGTCCTGACCTAGTGTCCCTCACTCCCGGCCCACTGCCCCCAGGCCCCAGCCCCCCAGTGTGTGGGGAAGGGGCAGGGGGGGCAAATACCCCCTTGGAGGCTGGAACTGTGACAGCCTGCAAGGGAAAACCTGTGGTTTCCCACATTTTTCTCCTTTAAAGGAAAATCCATTATTAAAGTTTGTTCGTGACCCTTTCATCTATTCTTGCAGCCCACTTTTGGGTCCTGACCCAGGGGTTGAGAAATGCTGCTTTAGCTCATATATTGTACATCTTCAGTTTAAAAGAGCTCTGACTGTATCTCTCAATAGCATGCATCTTTTAGAGTGATGCTTTTGGGTCAAACTTGACCAATGTTTTTATTTTTTTTTCCTTGTAAAAGCTTTTCCAAACCCTGAGCCTAACAGAATTGCTCTCGGGTATTAAAATGCTTGTGGAAATTGTGTTTTGTTTCATTAAGAAACAATGTTTTTGACTTTTAACTGACTTAGGAGCATGAGTCCCATTGAATGCTTAAAACTTTTGACCTCTGAAAAAACTGGTGAATATACACATATGCTGATCTCCCTGTTCTCTGGCAGGAATTCAGGTGTGCGGGGTGTATTCCTGTCTTGCACATGTGTATGCATAACAAGATAATTTGCAGGAAGTTCTTGCACTGGAGTCAGTGGCTAACTTTGAATTGATGGCTGCAGGGTTAGGATAGGATGTCTGATGGGACATTTTGCTGCTCTACCACCTAGGCGTGTATATCGAATCCAGCAAGGCAGTGCCAAATCAGTCAAACTCGCTTGTAGGATTTAGCCCTATAAATATAACTCTTTTTATTTCCTCCTGGTTCTTCCATGTGCTTGTAGATTTGTAGCTTATTTTCTAGAGGAGGAGTGGTCACACATGCAGCCTGGGAAGCTTGGGCTCTGCCACTGAATTGGGACCTCAGCAGCACTGAATATGGCTCTCAGCAGCAGGCAGGCAGTCAAAGACTGCACCGACACAGTCCTGCTCGCCAATTGGCCCCTGGCTGCTTACCCTGGTGCCACTGTGGCATCATGCAGCTGCTTGACTTTCAGTTCCTGGCCCCACTGGCTCCACCAGTAGCCTCACCACCACAGCTGCTGCTTGCCCCATGGGTCTGGCCCACAAGCAACTCCATGGTCCAGATCTGGGCCAGCGCATGGGGTGAGTCTGACACCCCTGCTCTAGAGGCTTCACAAAGTGCACAGCCCATTTCTCTATTGTCGAGTTGAGGTTTGCAGTGACTCAGTAACAGCTGGATTCATCCGCATGCTGTTGCAATGTAACACTGCAGCAGGCATGATTGATCCTGTCACAGGAAGGCTTTGCCCCCCACCCCTACCCCCTTCCTGGTTTTGGCCCTAGTGATGTGAGAAGCATCCTTTCCAGTCCAAGGCTGGAAGCAAAATACATATTTAACCACTTTGCAGATGGGCACTCCAGTCTCTGTGCTGTCACTGTGACATTTGATGAGCCAGTCTTTCATGGCAATCACAAGGGCTTGGACAGACAGCACAAGCAGACTTCTATAAATCCCTGTGCTGCTATAACACACACACACACACACACACAAAGACCAGTGAGAAAATGGCACTGGCTTAAGTTACACTGGTACAGGTGTCATCTGCCTGCTCCCAGCCTGGGGTAGCTGTTATGACAATGCCTACTGTGAGCAACTACGTTGGAATAGCAGCTTGTCCACTCTGCATCCTGATGTGGACTCATTCGGGATACAAAATCCGTGTAAACGCCACTATTGTAAAAGTGCCATCTGTCCAGATCCAAGGACTTGGTCATGTAGTATGTGGTAAATAACACTGGAGGGGCATTTTTTCCTAGTATGCCTGGCACTTACTTCTCCAGCAAAGCTATTAAAGGGACATGAAATCACTCTATAGTCTAAGGGAAAAAAATTAAAGAGAAGAGACTATTCTTCCATAGCAGGCTTTCTGCAGACGACCAGCTTAATCACATAATTGAACCATAATCCTGACCTTTTGGGTCCGCTCTTGAGAAAGATGGCACACGCAAGAGCAGGTTAATGTTTTAATGGACAAGGATTCTTCCTTTATCTCTCCTTTCCTCCAGTGCTTTACGAAATAGCGCCCTACCGCTTCAGCAAATTACTGTGCTGTGCTTTATTTGTGAGATGACATGTTCTGCACTGTCCCGGTTTTAAAACCTGCCTTGAAACATTGCTTCTCCAGTAAGATTAAT